GTTCTAGCAGGTTCCACCACAGAGGTATAAATATAAGGCCTACTCTGCCTGGGGACTGTCTCTTCAGACTTGGTCTCTTAGGATCATCCACAGGTACCTATACTGTAGATAGGTCTTAGTCATCAGGTCTACTCCACTTCCTTGTTGCCTGCTTAGACTCTTGGCACTCTTAGGTGAGCAGACTTAGTCAGCCTGTGTTGCCCTAACACCACCACTCAAGTGCCTGTTTTGGAGAGCCAAAGAGGTCGTGGGGCATATTATGAGCTGGAAGATATTGGATTTCACCCACTCAGCATTATGGCAGACCTGCTGCAACCCAGTGGCCCTCCCTCCAATATGGCCATTGAACCCATGGATACAGCTGATGAGCAATCTATCCGGTTTCAGCAAATTATGAACCAATCCCCTGAAGCCAATGAACTTTCTGACCGGGCATACCTCTTCTATCTAATGGACTGTGCATTTGGACCACCTACCAATTTCTTTGACTCACTACAGAGTCTGGTATTGCCTACTGGGGCTTTGCCAGTGCTCTCATCTCCCTCTGAAGGGGCCCCAGCTTCTCCAACAAGCTCCTCCTCTCTTCCATCCCCAAGGACATTAGTACAGCTAATCCAGGCTGGTGCATGGGATGATTCTAGTTCTTGTCTTGCTCCTGCCATCAGTGCAACTAACAGCCACACCCCTGCACTGCTAAATGATATTCCGGGCAATTCTACCATTGAGAGAAGCCTGGCACCATCTAGCAATCCCCCTGGCTCTCTACTGCCAGCTAGCAGCCACCATCCTGGGAGGTTGTCAACTTCAATATGCCCAAGAGGTGACCTGGGTGCATCAACAAGACCAGCATGCTTGACTCGGCCAGGGGAAACAGTCTGGGCCCATCAAGGACAACAAGACTTTGATGAGATTGCTCAGTACCTAGCACAGCAATTTCTGGATGTGTCCTCAACACTCTCCTGCTCAGGCGACAATGTACCTGCTGCAAGTGGCCCTTGGTGGTTCAAGATCCAAACCAAATTGTATCTTCAAATCTGCGAAGCACTGGACATGCCGAGCCTGCAGGCAAACGATGAGCATGTTGTGCAAGATCATGGTGGCACCTGGTCAGGCAGACTTACCTGTGAGCATGTTGCTGCATGGTTCACTTCTTTTCCACAAGCAAAGCCCTTAACACAGTCTACATTCACCAATCACCAGGGTGTGCTGAAGCAATGGGAGCATCTGTGGGCAGATAAGGAGCACTACTATAATGCACACAAGGAAGTGCTCTCATCCATTTCACCTGATGAGGAAAATCCCCAACTGTATGGTGCCATCAAATTGCTTGGGGTCCTTGGCTTCCTTGCAGCATCTGATGAAGCAGAGAGACAAGCCCTACTGGTGAGGGACATGAACCCAAATCACTTTCATCAACTAGTCAATAGGTGGGTATGGTCCAAAGTGGAAGAAGAGATCAGAGAACACTTTCCAGACTACACCCCTTGACAAAGAGGACAATTGTGCTCTCCCTAGCCACTTGAAGGTCTTGAGGTTTTCAAGTGACCCCAGGGTACCTTTAGTCCAATTCACTCCCATACAAATATATACAATTGTTCCAAATCTATAAAAGTTATCCCCAGACTCATTGCAAGGGATGGTGGCAGTAGAGACCAAAGTCTTTTCCTGGCAGTACATGGACAGATTGTGGTGTTTCAGCCTCTGTCCCATAAATTTGGTCCTGCAATACCCTGAACAAGCCCAGGATAACCTGTGAGAATGCGGGAGAGCCTCAAACATCCCGTAACATCTTGAATATGCCCGTAGCATCCCAGAGGATTCCATACCCAAATGACATTCTGAAACTGATGGCAGCTGCTGTGGACATTGGCCACACTTTGCCAGAGTACCACCTCCTAGTTTATCCCACTCTGGACTTTACTCCCCCTTCACATATTTGACCTCTCATAATGACCACAAACAATGCACCTTTACCATATCCCTTCCTGCCTCTGGACTTTAACCAAGCCAGACCAAGACTGAATGGAGTGAAGCTAAAGTTCTCCAGCTTGGTGGGATGCATTGTGACTTTGACTGGTCAACTGATTTGCCATGTAATGTGCCAGCTCCATGCAGAGAACAGGCATGGGCTCATATCTTTCTCTCAGGGTGATGACTTCATCAATGTGGAGGCCATGGACCACATTGTGATCCATGTCAAAGTTCCACAAGTGAGTGTAGAGCATTTTAAGGAGCAAACTACATAACCAAGAATAGGGTACTCAAATTCTTGGACCTTCTGTGGAGCTCATTGTTTATATGTTGAAGATGCCAATCATACTGCCTTGATGTTTCAGCCATGTGAGATGGGGGCTAAGCTCAGTAAGTGCATTATAACCACCATAAAACAAATACATTGTATGTTTACCACCATTCAAGATCTGAAGTCTATCAATGATTTGATTGAGTTGTCATGGGCATTTGCTGATATTTTCTTTGACAATGAATGGCAAGTAGGTTGAGTGACATTTGTGCAGTTTGAGAGTTGCCCATACAGCCCCATAGATCTTGCTAGATGTATGTTGTCTTTGATTTGGGCTTGTATTGGTTCATACTTTAATTAAGCAAATCATATACATGTTTTGATTTCCATTGCAGGATGGGGGATAGCAAGTTTATGCAGACTGGTGTATGTACTGATCTACATGGCCCAAACCATGACCAACATCATAGAGAACAGTGTTGTGTGCAGATCAATGAAACTAATTAGGTTCTGAGAGCAGAAAGGCAATCTATAGTGCAACGCAGTTCTGCAATCAGTGCATCTTGAGTTTGGACTTGGTGATGTAGCTCTTGTATCATGTGTTCCCTGGATTTCACCAATTCCAAGCTGCTATGTTGGGGGGATGTGGTTCAAACTGAGGAAGTATCTGACAGGATGTTGAAGTACACTGAAGAATTGAGGTAGCATACACACAAGCAGAAATTCCTTATCATGGCCTGTCAGAAGGGGCTTCTCATATCTGATAGCCTCAAATGGGGTCAAATGTGTCAAAATGGTGACATTTGGGCTGAATCAGAGTTCACATAGGAGTGCAGAGGTTGAACCCTGACACTTATCTGCTTTTGTCATTTTGTCCTTAGATCTGATCTCTTAGGATCCTCCACAATACTTGTGTCAAACTAGGCATCAGTATCCTATCAAAATTATCAACATGAGCAAAACTGGTCAATATTGTCAGCTAGCACTCTCAATATTTTAGTACTTACCTTGACACTCCTTTTACACTATGTTGACACCACCATTACTAGATGATATCTGCCAGCCTAGTCTTGCAATATCTCAGCCTGGTGGCCTTGCTCTCTTGACCCCCACCCTATCACTCACTGATGATCTTGGGTCATATCAGCAGCAACCTTATGTCTGGTATTGTGTGCCCTGACAGGGTCCCAGCTGTCCACAGAAGGCAGCCATGGTTGTTATTGAATAATGGTCCTCAGCATTCATTCATTTGTGTTTAATTCTGATAATTTTTCTTGATTTTGTGCAAATACTTTGCTTCCATTGCATGGAAGCAGATAGATACTCCTGCACAGGTGACTTTTCTGCTTCTGTTCTCATCTTTTTCCCCCATCTGTCTCTGCAGATGTTTTTGTTCTTTTCTGGTGAGCTTATTTTTCCTTCATTTGTATTCCCAACATTGTTAGATTCTGCAGATGCAAATACCATGTTTCCACTTGACAGGATGTGGAGACAAATGTGCACAGCATTTTACTCAGCATGTCCAGTGTCAGACCCCATAACTCCCTGAAGGACCCCTAGCGAGCTGTCGGCGTGCAGATTTAGGGTTTCCTAGGCAGGTGTATTCATGACTCTTCTTGCTCGTTCCCTCTCCGCACGCCATAAAGTCCTGGAATGTAGGCTACGACGCCGGACTAATGATAACGCTGTTTCAACTTGAAGGTTGTATCACCACAATTGGTGTTACCTGTCCCCAAGTAACTTCCGTGTCCAGCCAAGATCGCGTTTCCCAATTTATCTGATCAGCGAGCTGCATCTACCGACCTTAGGGTTGGTTTGAATGATGGCAAAGCTGGTGTTGTCTGGGTCGATCTTCCTTTTGCTTTCCCCATGCTTTCACCTCACTTGATACCTTCGCCTCCGTCCCATCCCAGTCGCACCATCCTCTCCTGTACCCTCTCCTGTTGCAATCCAATTTGGCCAAAAATTGACCCCGACCCCTGCCCCTGGGTTCATTCCCATCAGGGTCACATCATCATCATACATCTTCCCCCCATTTGCCGTCATGTCCAGCACACCCTGCCCCGCATCAGAGTTCTTCCGAACAGATTCTAGTGCCAAGAGAGGCACATAGATGTCCCATGTCAGTAGGTCGTTGTCCTGATGTTCGTATCGCATCACGGGCAACTCCTCGTCGTTGGATTTAAGTGCGAACGCTAATCGAATGACCGGTTTGGGTTTGCGTTCGGGTGTGCGTCTGCGTTTCGATGTTGAACCCGTGTCATCAGAATCGTGCGTTTGCCACACAATGCCGTCCATGTTGTCGAATACAGCTTTAGACGGTCCTTGCATGCCTTCCACACCGTTAGTTTGGAAGACTGCACAGGTGGTGTTGTGCGGCGCGATCTTCGTCCCATCAATGGTGATAGGGAAAGCACCCCCCCATGGTTGCCCGAAGTGCGTAGAAACGGCGGCACGTCTCGTAAGGTACCGGTACCATGAACCCTCCTTCAGAACATTGCCATGGACATTGATGATGTGATTGAAGTTCCCGTATGAGTTGCTGAATGTCTTTTGAAAGTTCTGGGCGTGGAATTTTCCACCACGTGATGCTCTGGACCCCTTAGCGTCTTCCACGAGGAATCAGTGAGCAGGCGCTCGAAGAAAGCAGGTATCGAAAATTTGCCTTCTTCAGTCGCAGCATCGCTCACGAGGATCATGAGGAGCGCGGCAACCGTCTCCCCACGGTCATCCACACTGATCCCGGGAGAGACAAAAATCCTTCTGAGTGCATCTGCTGCATTGAATGTGGCCATTGCAGCCTTGGCACCCTCTGAGATGATTGGCTCACTCGGAGATCCAGTGACAAGGGTTTCGTTGTTATCGGTTATTCGGTAAAGCACGCGCATGTGCTGAAAGACTTGCAGACTTGTCGACTCGAAGGCTACACTTGTGTCCGTTAGCATATCGATCGGAATACGTCGAGCTAAAACAGCGAGATTTTGTCCATCATCGTAATGCGCTCTCTTTGAGGTGCCGAGCAGTTTCTCCCTGGCAAATGCCGCCAAACTCAGGCCCACATCAATGTTGATACCCGACTCAGCCCGTCTATGAAACCTTCAGGCCACTCGAAATTAGCTGTGGTTCACCTCCCTGCACGAATACTTACAATATTCTCGATTGCTTGCACATGAACTCCTCCTTGCCCACCAGATTCAAATCCATCTCATCCGGTTGTATCTCTGACATGTTCAAGGGGAAGCTGGTGAACGCGGGCAAGTTTGATACCATCCCCGCTGTATGCGGCTTGAGGGATTCGACCGCATCGGGGCGGCAGAGTGTTCGACGATACTGGCAGATGTTGAGATGAAGCATGCATGTGTGGAGTCTCGTTCAAGTATAGCAGCACTCGGCGCAATACTGAGTAGATGGAAGTCCCATCCTTGTTTTGGCGAACTCTGCGTAACAGCGTATGAGCTTCGTCGAATGCGAGCAATACAGTTGGTCGAAGTGAGTTGTCGCTATGCTGTAAAAGGCCCGAGAGCTTTGTGAATGAACCTATCATATCAGACTTGCATGATGGGTCCATAGTCGAACTCCGGTCTCCACTTCTCTGACATGGAGAATTCTAAATTGCAAGTGTTTCTTGCAACATCTATCGCACGTAAGACAGAATGTCCTTGCACACATAAAGGACAACATCGTGCGCACGTTTTCTGCTTTTTTCACCACACGGTTGTAGAACGCCCGCCGTACGGGGCTGGGTTTGTGCATATGAGTCCAGGTCGCCATGTACCCGCGAAACCAGTTCGCCAATTCAGCATGCGTCTGGATCCCTACTTCTTCTTGTCGTTTCTTGAGTAGCTGGGCCAATTCATCGTAGAGTGTCTTGAGAAAGCATACTATGGCGATCTCGCACTCGTCCACGTTGCTCAAATATTGGAAGTACGCCAGCACTCCGCTGTCAGGAGGAGGGAAGCCTGCAAGCACGACTCATCAGCACCTCAAGCCCAAGCTACTCAGCAGAATGATGACGCACCACCAGGCGCATCCCGTAGCACAAGAAGAACGGTAAAGAGTGTCTTTGACGATTCATCAATCACACGTGTCTTGCCCATACCAGAAGAATTGACAACCACAAACGCGTTGGGATAGAGAGACGATGCCGGGTGGGTCAGCTCACAGCAATGGCTAATGTGTTGGTGAAAGAGATCCACGCCGTTTCCTACATATTCGGAGGTCCATGCCTTGACCGTGGCTAACGCAAGCGGAATGTGAGTGATTGACATAGGCCCGCACAGGATAGAGACATACCCTCTTCCTGGGCTGTGACGGAAACTACATATGTGGCTGACACTTCAAGGTCGGGGGAGGTTTTTGGGGGGTGGAGCTTATCTGATGTTCAGAAAATGACAAAATAAGACACAAGAATGAAAGGGCGCGCCAAAGAAACACGTACCGTAGAGCTTGCCCAATTCGATGGGGAGGACTGCTGGGTCTCGTTGAACTGCCCTCACGATGTCTAGTGCGGTCTGCCGCAACTCGGGTGGATATTTCTCCGCTTCATCGGTCGCCGTTACAAACAATAAGTCATCCACACATGTTCGTTCCATGTTGTCCCGTTGAGCCCCAACCTCAACCTCATTTGAAAGATGTACCACGATCTCCCAAGAGCGAAGCGCGCGCGTCCAGTGTTTCAGCAGGGTGTTGCGATCAGAGCGGAGATCATCGCGAAGGCTCTTGGAAAACGAATGGTCCACGTCCGACTCTTCATCCCGTGGACGCTTGAGTTTCGTTGTTGACGCCATTGGTTTGGGTCTATTCGCAAAGATATATGAACGTTGGCACCCGGTTAGAAACCAGAATATGGGAAGAGGAGATAGCGAAATTGGTCGCCGTTTGGCACTGGACGCGGAATACGGTCCTTGTTTCGGCACACTTAGTGCGTTAAAGCCTCTACCAGTTGCCTGTCTGTCGCATTGTTCTCTCTGTTCCGAAGCATCACTGGCCTGAGTAGATGGCCCAAATCCAATTCACGGAGTGGAGTCCGAATGCCACACGGCCTGGAGGTGGAACCTGGATGGATGTACCAACATACGATCTCGACTTTGATAACTGGATCGAAGAACATGAACATGGCCTGCTTCAGTCTTTTGGGTGGATGGATGTTTTTGTGTGACCAAGAGCGTGTTTCATTCCGGTATGTACACTTTCCTCGATATCAACTTCTACAATCACATGTAGAGGCCATGACATAGTATGCAGTCGCAATGTATAGATAATACATGATTCATTATCACCAAGTTACATTTCGTTACACTACGGACTTCATATACCAAGCCGCTTTGTGGCCTGTTCCCTCTCTTCCCTCGAGTCCCCTTCAGCCAGCAGAGTCAAGTCATTGCTAATAGCCTCTTCTACTAGCATGCTGGCACCTGACATAGTTGGTACTTCATTTAGCTCATCTTCACCTAACCGTGCAAATACCGAGTCGTCCTTAGACGGAAACACATAGCTTTGCAGCTTCCATACCTGGCTCTCCGGGAGTTCAGTCGAATCAGGGTACAACACTTGCATCATCTCCAGGTCGCGTGACGCAATACGTATATTACCCATGTGTCCTCGTCATCATGGGGATGAGATGCCAGGATTTGATCACCGGAAGGACAGTAACCGAACATGCGCGGGAACTTCCGTATACCGTACCCCAAAACAAGCGCAGCTAGAGCGCCGGTTGGTACTGAGCAGAAACTTGGCATGACGTCGTCCACGTCAGGTACAAAACCTGTGGGAAGCTGCTCGGCACAGACCGGCAGCGGCTTGTGCCAACACCAAGCCAAGGATGGGGTTGGGAAGAGACGCATACCACAGATCAGGTCCTCCCCCTACAATCAGACGTCAGTGCACGCACTAATCCAGAGTGTGCAGTTTACCATCATTGTGTGCTCGTACACCTCATCACCAATGCTGGCCTCACGTGCAGATGTAATTGAACACAGCCAGTCAGACGCCGGAGCCTGCCAGATAGTCTCGCCATTCTCGGACACTGATACCGGTGACTGCAGGAGCAATGCTCGCCTCGCAACTTTCGGGGCCAAGACCAGTCGTCCTTTCAGGGAGTCCACCGCCATGAACTCGCAGTGGGTAGTGATATCCCCGTCCTGTCCTCTATAGAGCAGACGTATGCTGGCACTTGAGTCCGTTGCCCTTTTTTCCAAGGGCACGGAGAAAATTGACGAGGATCCTTCTGCACAGGAACGCCGAGCTACGGCCACTTCATGTTGGAGCCAGTATGCCATTCCGCAGTTTCCGTCGATGGCAGCGGCAGATATATACTGCGATCGATCGATTGGTAATGACCACAAGTGCTCAGTGTCGCATTCTGCCATATCTACTGTGAAGCTCAGGCGTATGGCGGAAAGGTGAAGGGAGTTCTGCCACAACAGGATTGCTGTTGACCCGACCGGGCAAATACGCGTTCCAAAGATCCCTTCTTCCACAGGGTGGGGCAGATTGATCATTGTCGGATGATGGATCCCTCCATCTGTTTCACCCCCCATTGCAGCCTCTCGCAACGATTGAATCGTGTATATGGCGATAGACTCTCTATGGGCCAGAATGAGATGGTAAGCCGTAAAGGCACCTATCCATCGCCTGACCTGATGAAACCATGTGTCAGATTCTCACGTTGACCTCTTTGGCAAGCGACATACGAGATAAGATCGACCAAGAACCACTAATGTCTTTGTCGTCCAGTATATAATGTGCAAGTTTGAGTGGCCTTTGAGCGTGCCGTGTACGCTGAATGTCCCATCAAAGGCAATAGTCTCGCATGAATCGTCCATGTAATCCAAAGTTTCCAACAATACCCCATCAAATGCCACGAGATAGGTGCGTATGAAGCCGGGATTCGGAATCTTCTCTGCGATGGTGTCGTCGGAGTACGTGTAGGTTGGTACCGTCTCATATGAGAGCAGTAGACGATAGTTGTTCCCTGACATTCTTTTAACACACCCAGAACATACGGCAGCATTCGGCGCCGGAATCGGAGTGGGACGCCATTCGCCAATGATTGGGGTGAAACCCACATTTTGTGTGTATTTCAGACACTCCACGAAACCAGATGAGGTGCCACGGAACAGCCAGTCACCTTCCACTGCTGTCCACAACACCATGCCAGAGGCAGGGGGAGTGATCGGTGACATGGTCCCGATCGGTTCGTTTGAATCTTTTATTGGGACCATGCTGAGACTCGTTGGCGGAGAGCTCTCAAATCTTGATGACTCACTTTCAGGAGAAGACGGTAATTTGGGGACACAGCTCTTATGAGGTGCGAAATCCACGGTGAATCGAGTGTGATCGATATCAATACGAAGTGTGCTGAAGAGTACAGCGAGTGATCAGGATAGACAGGGTGGTCATTGTCGTCCCAGCTCTCCAGGGCCCGGAGGCAAAGCGAACGCTGTGATGGTGTCAGGTCTGAGTGTGTCGGATACGCTTCATCGATGGCACTTTATAGAACAAAGTATAGTAAAGCAGAGCAGGACGCGTGAATAGTATTACAGCAGAGAGTTGTACAGAGAGAGAAAGTGAGTGAAGATACCTAATACGTCGAGCTTGTCGTCCTCCACGAATGGTGACGACGGGCTACGGTAAAAGGAGTGAAGGGGGAACGCGCTAAATAGACGGAGGCTGATTACCTAACCCTCCCCCTTTACGACGTCATCGTGCCGCAGTCGTCACACTCACACACGCGTCTCGTTCCCCCTCAACATCCAGAACATGCACCTATCCACATAGTCCTGCGTAACATCTTCCATCACACTCGCCGTCCCGCCGCTCAACCCCATCCAGTCCTCAGTCATAACCACCCGCTCGTGCGTCCCGAAGTTCGTCCATTTGGGCGAATACTCCTGCCTATACCTGGCCGGATTTCCCCCACGAGCAAAACTCGTCCAATACCCGATGATCTCCTCGCTCACCAGTTTCTCTGTAGCGTTGAACCCCGCAAAGGTGAACCCAGCATTAGGAGCAGAGTTCGTCCCGTCAAAGAGATAATAGATGTCTGAGGTATGCATCACTCCTAGGTACGGGTTCGCCTTGAGCAGCACCGTATCCGGGGTGTTGAACCTGAACAAATAGGAGTTCTCTTCACCCCGGGCATAAGTGTGGTTCGCCATGTACCAATCCCTGGGAACTATAAGCTATCGAGCTATCAGCCTGGAGAGGGAGCGCACATGCAGCCGAACATGATGTCCTGTTGGATTGTTGCTGCACGGTCATATTGAGTCGCATACGGGCTCCCGGGAATCAACGGATCCGGGTAGAATTCTAACATCGCCGCGACCGTCTCGTTAGACTATGTGCTCACATGAGCCTTTGCCAAAAGTTTGAAATTGGGTGCTTACCAAATGATGATACCGTTTCTCTATATCAGTCACCACGTCCGCAGCAGTGATCACGCTCTGGTTACTTCCCGCAAAAGTGCGCCCATCATTCGAACAATGCCCGCCGATGAAATTCACTTTGCTGAACCGGTGTTCGGGAATTAGCTTAGATGCTAGATCGGGGAGGAAAATGCCGTCGACGATGGGCGCCCAGGCACCATTTGGATTTGCGTTGATGGCCTTGATTAGCACATCGAGGGGTGTGGTGCGCAGGCAGCTCATGGAAGTAGAATCCAGGGGGCAGCCTGCGATGGCAATCACGTTCACTAAATGGTCGTTAGCAAAAGATATTCTTGATCGAGGTGTCCGCATACCAAAGTATGCCTCGTATTCGTACGGGAACAGTACTGGACCATACCCGATCGACTGGGAGATAGCACCTTGAAAGGGAGCGCCCCTGGTTCCACCGTACGCCGTCATTTGCAGCATAACGCTCGCGCCACCCGCCGATTCGCCCGATATCGTGATCTCGTTTCCATTACCACCAAACTGATGGATATGTCGCTGAACCCACTCGATCGCCGCACGTTGGTCGAGTAGTCCCACGTTCATGTCCCCGTCCTCCTGGACGAAATGGGAACCGAGGAAGCCCAGAAGATTCAGTCGGTAGTTCATAGAGACGCCGATGACATTCTGCGATTGATGTACCCAGTCGTACAAGGGGAACCCGGCAGGATTCTGTATATAGATTAGGATCAAGCGATATACGGAAGGCAGAAAGCACTGACGCCATAATAGAAACCGCCCCCGAAGATGTATACAATAACGGGGAGGTTTTCTCCTGCCTTTGCCCAGCTTGGCTTCCAAACGTTCAAGGTCAAACAATCTACATCGTGGCTAGCAGCATGTCCGAGCTATTCAACATGGAACCTCTGACCCTCTGATTCCACGCTAGCATTTGCTGGTTGCTGGATGCAAGGAATACCAAAGGTCCGAGCATCTTGAACATCTACCCAACCGCCGTTCTTGACCTTCTCGTCCAGTTGAACTGGAGCACGAAAGCGCAAGTCTTCAAGCGGAGGTTGTGCATAGCGAATATTTCCAAAGAAGGTTACAGAGGTATCCCCGTCTCCCGCAGGAGAAGAGTGGTTTCCCACATAAGCAGCGTAGCCAACATTTACGACCGGCCCCAGGTGCGATTTCAAGAAAGGCAAAAAGCCACCAGAAGAGGCCGTGACCAGAAGCGCGAGAGCGGAGACGAACACCAATCCTAACATCCTGAGTGCGACGGTAGCGAAAACCTCAATGACTTGGCATATTCAAGCTCATTTATTTGAACCATGTTCAACCTCGCTCGGGAAGGTGTTGCGCCGAAGCAACGACAGCTGTAGACATTCCGGAAGTACCCAAATGGCGAATCGGACAACAACCCAAGGGAAGAGGGGTCATCTGAGCAAATGTATTGCCAGCCAGAGCGTAGCAGTTGAAATATGCTGAGAAGACAGGAAAGGTTTCTTCTGGTGGGCTCAAATGTCATTTTTGGGCGCGGCCCGAATGGTCCGACATCTTAGGTAATTAAGCGCCCACTCTTCCCCACTTTGGGATTAGCTGTGTGATTTGCAAGGAATTCACATGATCGCCTTATTTGGAATAATGCCGTCGTGTCGTGTTTACTCAAATCCGGAGAAGCATTGTTCATTCACCTTTATGTATCAGGAAGGGTCATCAAGCGTGGCAAGGCCCCCTCCACTATACCCCGGTTTCGTCACCTCTCACCATCCAGAACATACAGCGATCCTTGTACCATTGTGTGAATGGTTCTTCGGTGCTGTCGGTCTTGTTGTCCCCAATATTCGGATCTTCTGTTAGGACGACTCGTTTGCCAGAGCCCCAGTTTGTCCATTCAGGCGAGTACGGCATCCTATGAGTGGACGGATCGCCGGTCTTCGCAAACGATGTCCAGTAAGCGATCATCTCCTCGCTGACCAACTTCCCCGTCGCATTGAAACCACGGAACCCGCCTCCACTGAGCAAAAGTATACGTCAGACAGGGTCAGACAGCAAATTCCACCACATACACCGGACCTAAAAACCACGTCCGTCAGTGTTATCGAGGCATAGCACTGATAACCATTGCTCACCATCACCATCAAAGAGATAGAATACGTCGGAACCATGTCCCACACCTATATATGGCGTATTGGCAATCGAAACTGGGTTCGGAACGTTGAATCTACAGAGCGCCGTAAGCTGCATCGAAACTCCGACGGTAACAGGCGATTTACCGGAAAGTGCAGGTGTGGTGCTGACCCAGGTTGTAGCTGAAATTCGCCATGTACCAGTCCCTTGTAGAAATGAGCAGAGCTTAAGACAATGCAGAATCACACAAACACCCAAACTCAATGTCGGCGTGTATTGTTGCGCATCGTTCATAGTTGTTCGGGAATGGACTTCCTGGGAGTGAGGGATCAGGGTAGAACTGCAGCAGGGCATCGATGGTAGCATTCGTTTGTGCAATATCAAAAGAACAGTCAAGACTTGTGATATACATAACGTACTAGATGCTTATATCGCTGTTCTAGACACGCGATCAGATCAGCGTCAGTCGGGCCAGTTGTGTTGACCCCAACGAACGTTCGTCCGTCATTTGTACAATGGCCCCCAATGTAGTTGACTTTGCTGAACCTCCCTTGTGGAATGAGATGTGATACTAGCTCCGGCAAGAAGTCTCCGTCGACGATAACTTCCCATGCACCCAGGGTTATGTTATTGATCGCCTTGAGGAGATGATCTAGTGGTGCTGCACGAAGGCAAGACATGGATGTCTCGTCGAGCGGACAGTCGGTTTTGTTCATGAGTTCCGCTGAGTAAATGTCAAGGGGAATATCGATAGAAAGCTCAGATGCCATACCAAAATACCCCTCGATCTCGTCCGGGTGGAAGACGGGCCCATAGCCAATGGACTGAGCAATTGCTCCTCGAAAAGGGGCGCCCCGATTGCCGCCGTATGCCTATAACTCGATCAGTGGAAGGAATAATACCAAGTCTATGACAGACGGTCATCTGCAAAATGACGCTCGCGCCTCCCGCTGACTCTCCAGAGATCGTAATACGATCCCCATCACCCCCGAAGAAATGAATGTTCCTCTTCACCCATTCGATCGCGGCACGCTGATCGAGTAGTCCTGTATTGAGATCGCCATCCTCCCGGACGAAGTGGCCACCGACATATCCGAACAAGTTGAGACGGTAGGCAAAATTGACCGCAATGACGTCCCCGGTTTGATGAACCCAGTCATACATAGGCTGAGTGGCTGGATTCTGTGGAATAATCAATGGACAGTCGAAAGGACAGCAATAAGAAGCTACCCCGCCGATGAAGCCTCCCCCGTAGATGAACATTATTACAGGAAGTTTGTCGCCCTCCTTCGCCCAAGATGGCTTCCAGATGTTCAGAGTGAGACAATCTAACAATGTTCAGAAGCATTAAAAGGAGCGAAGTTCTCTCACCTTCCGTTTGTAAGCTTGCATTTCCAGGCTGCTGAATGCACGGGAGTCCGAAGTTTCGGGCGTCTACAACATCATTCCACCCGCCGTTCTTGACGTGTTCGTTCAGCTGACGAGAAGCCCGGAAACGCAAGTCACCAAGGGGAGGTTGGGCATAAGGAATCTTGCCAAAGAATGTAACTGAGTTGTCTCCATCACCGGCAGGAGATGTGTCGTTGCCAGCGTAGGCAGCGAAACCAAGATTGACCGCAGGCCCAACGGGGGATGTTAATTCGGGGGAGATGGCCAGCCAAAACCGTACTCCGAAGCATCATACACACCAGGAAAGACGACATATTGATGGAAGCCAATTGAGACGGAACCTCAGGACCGATTTCAAGGGCGCCTTGAGGAGTAGACTTTTTATAGCGTGGTAGGTCATCGTGCTCTGAGGTCTAATGCAACCGCATACGACGGTGTGTTGTACTCATTTCCTCCAAAGCATCGTTATCGGCAATCTCATTACGAGTGTCGTGAGCCGCGAGGATAAAAAAGATGCTCGGTCCATAGGTATACCAACAAGAGAATTGAACAAAGGAAGATCAGTATGGCTGACTTCTTTTCCTGTGGAATGCACCACGCCGGACCGGCGCGGAGGGAAGCAAAGGGTCTTGCTCATTCAAAACTGAACATCCTGATCAAGAAATGATGGGCCCCATGGGGAAACCATTCAAGAACGACAAGGGGTCATCCCACACAGAGTAACATTAGGTGACTCTATTGATACATTGGAATACAGATACGCAGACTGAAAATTACACCGAGCGCAAGGTTCAGAGGGAGGCGCCCAAACCGCATTTAGAAACCAGTTGTTGTCACTCTCAGCTGCTCGAGCTTCTTTAAAACCTCCGAGTACGTCCGATCAAGTTCGCCTGCGATGCTCTGTTGCTTCTGCGTGGGCAAAAGAGAGAACAACTCGCACAAGTCCCCATCGACCACGCCTTTGACAGGAACGTAGTACCCACGGTATGTCAGATGGTCTCGTCCAACAAGACTAGGTGCTTCCGTCCGCATGTGCTGTTCTAAGGTCCGGATAAAATCGACATCTTCCTTAGATATGAACGGAATGAGCACGCCGATGGTGCCGTGGAGGCCGGTGTATAACACGATGTCGCGACCGCCCGTGACTAGGGCAACTTTGTGCATTGAAGTGATGATGTCGCCCACATAATAGTGGGCAAGCATGTTGGTTTTGTGTGGGGCGCCCATAAATAGGCCCTTTTCGTGCAGTACGCCAGCACCCGTTGGATCTTCATCCACCTGCTCACCCACTTTCGGTGGTAATCGATTGACAAACACGTTCCCAAATTTGTCGCCAGCACATACGGTATCGTAATCAACCATTGCGGAGGCGGTAATCCATCGAGGTTGACTGTCATCTGCGAATATGAGCAGTCGATTTTCAGGTGGCTTGTAGGTTGCAAAGTATATTGACTCGGCCATGTCTCCAACAATGATGCGTGAGCCTTGCGTGCTCAGGGTGACGATGGCGGTGGCAAAGCTCTTGTTCTCACATTTGCGCAGTAATCGCTTCTTGCCCATGTCGAAGATGCGCAGAGCCTTGCCAATACCGGCCACCAACCGACCTTGGAAAGATAGAAGAGCCAGTGGCACGTCGTCCACTTCGGTTTTGTGGAGGAACTCTAGACTTCTTCCATCTTCCGATATCTTATATGTTCTCAAGAAACCGCTCTTGCATGACTTGGGTGAAACGATGACGTCCTGTGCGGTTCCAACGACCAAGAATAATTCGCCTGGTCTGGCAATAAAAGTCGTGATAGCCAACGAAAACGCTGCTTCGTTGTTATCTAGTGGCACTTCCAGCACGGATCTCACCTGTAATAAAGGAATGAGGGACGTTTCCTGACGTTGGTAGAAGGAGCTCACATTAGCCGGGTCAATGATCTGTATACAGGAAGCCCATGTGCCAGCATCAGCGCGAGGGCGGCCGAAGATATCAGCTGGTAGATCAATGACCTCTTGGTCTAAGCGTTGCCCTGTTGACTTCAGCTTCTGGAGCTTCTTGTCAGCGGCTTCCGGAGACAGCACGCGATGATCCGACTCGATTACATAGAACAGCCGTTCGGTGGGATGCTGCAGCATCTTCCTTGGCGTATAGGAGAGGGGTATTACATCTTGTTTCAGCTTCTGTCCCAGGTTCGGTACTTGGAATATCCTGAGGTAATAGTCAGAATCGGTTGGTAGCAATGTATAGAAAGGTTCAGTAGGAACAATTGAATGAAAATTGAAGAAAATCGCCATATGCCATTGCATCGGGATCCCATGTAGTCATCACAGTATGAAGGCAATCGGGAGGACACTCACCTGAGGACATTGCCACTGATACCGATGAGCCCATCGGGACAAAGCTCCGCGGAGAAGCTCCATGCATATTCAAGGGGGTCGAAGATGAGAGGGGTGAAGTGAAGCAGGTTTTGATAGGTGTAGTTAAGCCAAGATCGTGACGAGAGGGCGAGAATGCTAGGCAAGCCATGGACATTCACGCGAATGAGACGAACGGGTCGTGATCCAAGGAAACGAGTGCGCGTGTCGGTCAATTGCCCATTAACCGGATCCAGAACTGTCCGCAGCAAAACGCCGTTCTGTAAACCGATATTTACGAACATGGTCGGCTGATTCTTGTCGATACTAGCATCCATGATCTCTGCTACGCAAATCGACGAAGGAGGAGCAGTCAGGGCTTGCAGACTGATGTTCTCTAATGTCGTGTCCGGGTCAAGGGAGATGATGCGAACGGTCTGATCTTCGCACCCAACAGCCTGGATACGTAATTAACATCAAGATTCAAAAGTGCGTCAAAATCAGGCTACGGCGTACCAAGTAGGGTGTTCTCTGTCTTCCCTCGGGAACCTCAGCAATGCTCATGGCCAACACACCACTGCCTAACGATTTTCGATCCTGGTATTCGTTCAACTGGCCTTCTAGATCTAACTCGAAATAGACCAACTGTGCCGAGCTGAGAGCTATGGCGACTTGGCGGGAGTTGGTGGTGGCAGCCACAATTGTGGTATGCTGAGGGCATCGCCACTCGTTGACTCGGCGGTCAGAGAGGACGTGCCGAATGCCATGTGGGTATACTTGCAGAAGCGAGTCTTCGCCGATCTGCTGCACGGCGATGGTCGGGGAGGAGGAGAGGAAGCCGGTATCTGATACTTCTTCGATGGTCTCCCCAATAGACAGGACCAGCGTGCCGTTCACGAAGGAGAGAATGATGTACGCATCATACTGGTCTGTGTACAGTCACTTAGCACAGTATTCGGGGATAAATGAGTGATCTTACCATCAGCCTTTAGCTTCACTGTCCAGACAGCATTCGGTATACCAGGCAGCTCAGAGCTAACAGTTTCCTCCACGTCAAGACCATGCCTCAGCATCCGGAATGAGCTGCGAGCTCCCCGTCCACATGCAGCGAAGATCTGGGGTGTGTCAGTGTTCAATAGATTTGTCACTTTAGCGTCCACGATTGGATCGAAGCTGTTTAATTCATCCGCAAGAACGAGGTTCTCAAGGGGTCGAGGTCGGAAATACGCTTGTGGGATGGGGTCGGCCATGCCGTTGTCGGGGTAAGAGACGGACGAGTACTCAATCTCATCATCATCATCACCAAGCTTCTGGAATTGGTAAAGATAACTGATCCAAAGGCATCAGCTTTAAACTTTTGGAGAATACGTGAAATAGGACGTACTGGTTTCCAAACTCAGACGCAACGAACAGGAATCCAGACTTCAGGATACACAAACTGGAGGCGACAGGCACAGTGTCGAAGTACTTAATCTTCATTGTCTTGACCTCTTCATCTTCATGGTCGATAGTGACCTTGAACAGATCTCCATCTTCGCTCTGAAGAAGGAAAAAGAATGCGCCCTTCATCTTGTGCATGACCGCTGCAACAATGATGCTGTCTCTGGTTCGCTCGTCCAGAGGATGCCGCCTCTTCGGTATAGGAACGCGATGCTGTACGGTGTCCATGTGTCGCCAGATGATGTAGCCCTCGCAGCAGATCAGGACGCCTGAAGGCCCATCGTGCCTTGCTTCAGAGGATGTTTGCCCACCAGGGACTTGTAACAGCAGGTTGGCTCGCTTGTCCGTAGGCTCACTCCATTTGCGCACAACATGGTTCAGTCCCAAATCAAGTTCGTAATAGGTGAGCATCTGGAAAGGCGTTAGGACAGGAACAAGTTTTGTCAGATGCGCGCACCTTTTCGGTTTTCTCATACGCCTCTCCTGTCGAATCTTGGTCCGACTCGGTATAATCAACCTCAAGCGCAGCGAACAGCGGATTCTCGAAGCCAACATCAACTCCGACGATAGAATGAATGATGCCATGATTCTTGTGCGCTTCGAGTGGGCTGGAGATTGTCAAGTTGGCGGCGGCATCTCGATTAAGGATGTATACGAGCTTCGCTTTCTCCAAAGCCGCGATCATGACACTTCGTCCTTTTGGATCTACAGCAAGGTACTGTCCTGGCACGATACGACGTACTCCAGACTTTCCATATGTCTCCTGATGTAGCTTCGTGAATGCATTCGCTTGGGGATCGTATTCCAGGATGACGAGCCGTCCAGAGTCAGAGCCTACGATTGCATAATCTGGAACAAAATGTTAGCTTTGATGATCTTCTCATGCAACTGCCTATACAACTACCTTTTGCCCCTCCTGTTAGCCTAAATGCTACCAGCGAACGGATAGTCCCAAATACATCATGCGTCAGAACTGTTGACACTTTGCCTGTATTCGGGTCGGGCTTGAGCAGTTCGAGTCTCGTACCACGCGACACGATGATCTCCTGAGCGCGTACACCCGAAAAATTCCCCACAATGGCCTGGGTGATAGCCGTTGGTGGCTGCAGAGTGAGGTTATACAGATGCATCACAGGAGAGCTCTCAGCGAAGAGGTACCAGTCCTGGTTGTAAGATGTGTGCGGTGAGGATGTCAACAAAAAGTGGCGAAGGAAGTGATGACTTCCAATCTCTGAGAGCGGATGCATTTAGTTTTTCCGGCATCATAGCTCCGATCCCTAGGTCATTGTGAGGAATAAATGGATGTTACAATATAATACACAATAATCAGTTGAACATTATCTCGCGCTCGTCGTCGATGGAATCTGATCCAGTTCCCGTTGAACAGCCTATCTAACCTTGCAGTCAGCCGGACTGACTGAGGCAGCCAAATTCAGTACGCACTGGGCATATGGGTATGCCGATCTCATAGTATCTTGCGGCATTGAGCACCTTGAGCGTGTCGTACAAGTTTAAGAACGCTCGTCCAAAAGAAGCAGCCTACGCCAACAGCTGAGCATATACTCGCATCAGAACGGCAATATTCGTACATTTAGAAGCTTCTTCTGCCAATATGGTTCCCACTCCTGAGCGGCGGCATCAATGCACGCATCTACAGCGGCTACCAACCCCGGACGGATACTGCGGACGTTCTCGTCAGCTTTCAGGGATTTACGCTCGAAGTGTGTCATCGCATCGAAGAGGGTTGCAGCAGGGGACGTAGAACCGGGGCGGAAGACGGCACCAGTAGATGCTGTTTTGATTGCGCATCAGCACGAATAGGTAGAGAAGGGAGGAGGGAGGATGCACAGGGCACTCGCTGCAGGAAATCGCACTTCTCTGCCCCGACGATACGCGTCCCGTCGATTTCACCGATCGCATGCACCGGAGAGGCATAGAAATACCTTCCACAAGCTCAGTCATACGTCTCGATCATAATCGGTCCACGCACCTCAGCGCATCCCCAAACGGTCCCATCAGCAGCACCAAGGCATCCCACACCAACACCGATCTATCGTTTCCACACCAGACCATCTGCTTCGGTGGGCCTGAGACGCCCTCGAGCGAGAGGTCGGACTCGGCGAGCTCCCCTTGGAAGTCGGACGAGACTACCCAGAGGACGTTTTGTGCGGTGAGAAGTGCGAGGGCCTTCCCGTTCGGGGAGGGGGCAAGGAACGTGAATGGGCCACGAGAAACGCGCTGAAATTGGATATGAGCGGAGGAGTGAGGAAAAAAGTCATGTGACGAACCTGGTCGACACACTCCAGGTTATCCAGCATGAGGATCGTCGAGTCAGTTTATATGAGCACCTCTACGTGCCTGCTGACGGTGAGTTCGGGTGGCATGATCGTCCAGCAATGTGGGGGAGCGGATAGTCCTACAAATGTTGAGAATCATCAGTATCAGCAAGTGAAATGTCAAAGAAACGCACCAGAAGAAGCCAACGTCTGGGCCTTGCCGCCCTCCCAACTGCGCACTTCCAAGAAATTGAGGCTGCCCGTCAGTGCAACCAAACCAGTCTCGTGCACTTGCGCTTCAACTACTCCTTCCTCCTGTGCTTCCGCGCCGAGCGAAAAGTGTTCATACTCCCCTTGACGAGCATACACCCTGTAGAGACCAGGACGACGAGTCGCTCGTCGTATGTCCAACCCATGCAAATGATCCTGCCTTGATCACGTATACTAGGACTATGCGAACATCTGGCGTGTAGATCCCCAACACAGTGGTCGTTCGGATATCCATCTTTCTACTCGGAAGCCGAACGAATATCAGCCGTTCGCGCACCCATTGTGACCCATGATGCTGGAAGACCACCTGAGGCGTACCATGCTGGCACCCACATGCACCGTGGCTCACTGATGGACAAACTCAATTTCTTCCCAGTGTAAGGCAAGAGAGACAGATAAGGCGTTCTTTGACCGAAGCTTGACCGTAGAATTGCGCGGACTTCTTTTGTTCTCCCATCATTGCCAATCAAACCTTTTGTCACAGATTTTAACTTGAGTTGCTCACAGGGTGATTGAGTCCGATGAAAATCATGATCAGCACGTTTGCCTTGAACAATACAGGGTATATGTAGAGGTGGGATGGGATTGTTCTCAGTGTGTGATGCTCTCCCACTCACTTTCCCTTTGTGTGTTTCCCTTGCCTATCCCTGTCATATGAGGTCATGCACAGCCATGCACAGCAGGTCACCTGACCATCCAATCCTTCCAGCAGGTTCCAGCACATGCCAAGGTATACCAGCTACTTCCATGTCATAAAGGCTTAGTCATGTCTCTTGACCAAGCAA